TCAAATCAGATGGAAACTATAAATGCTTGGTCTCCAACTATACGAGGGTACTTGACGCTACCAAGTAATGCAAAGTTTCTCTGCCAGTCTCCAAGGCCACCAGTTCAAACCTTCACCACTCTCCCACACCTTCCTTACCACCTCATTCTTGAAAGATGATCATGGTCCCTACTTCATAAAGAAGAAAGTCACACAGAAACTGCTTGCAACGTTGTGCCACAAAACCGATACACCCGCATGTACCTACGCCATCCTCTCCTCTTTCCTTGAATCAAGGGATCAAAGAAGTGCCCTTCTACCTGCCTAACCTATGCTCCAGGCTCAATTTCCTTTTCTCTTCATGGAGAGCTCATTCTAGAAATCATCCCCTCTATTTCATATCAGCCACTCCTCTTCCACTATGTTCCTTAGAAAAGAAAAGGAAAAAGGGAAAAATAAAATGTCCTTCCCTGAAAATCTGCTTGAAAGCATTACTGATCCTCGCCCTCTCCTCTGCTATACCCACCCCACCCACACTGCTCCCACCACAGTCCCACTAGTGGCCTGGAGTGAGCACTTTGAGGTCCTGTCCCACTCAACCAGCCTACAGGTGGTTGAGCACAGAGGGCTCACTGAGACCCTCTCCTCTTGGCTACCGTGAGAGCCCGCTCTCTGGGTTCCCTCCTGCCTCGCTGCTGCTTCTCCAGCAAAGACAACGCATGCACAGAGATGAAGATATAAGAAAACCATATGGAAGTAACCAGAGATGGGGAGTCTTTCAGCATGTGGGTTGCACCACGCCCGAGGCTGACAAGGCCAGTTCCATGGCCTCGGACTCTCCCACTTGTCTCACCTGCTGAAACATGAGCTCCTCCTCTTTGAGCCTCTCCAGCCGCTCCTGCTCCCGCCGGGCTACTTCTCTTTCATGCTGCAGGTCGGCCACTTCCTTTTGTCTCTAGCATTGTTTAAAAACAGTATCCCATGACTAATGAACACAACTTGCAAAAACAATTTGGAAAGCAACTTAATCACCAACAGTTGGGAAAGGATTAAGTAAAGTATAGTCTCTTGAACACTGTCTAATAATTTGGGAAAGCTGTATAATAATGTGGGAAGGTCTGTGTTTTACTTGAAAACTGTCTAATAATTTGGGAAAATATGTGTTTTATTTGAATAACGAGCACAGAGTTAAAATTATACATTGAATATGATCATCATTATGTACAATAATCTACAGACAAATGTTTAGAAAAAAGACTAGAAGAAATACTTAAAAATATAAGTAGTGGTCTTCTTTGGGAATTTCTACTTTTTCATGTTGTCCACGTTTTTGTGAGATAAACACACTATTTTTATAACAGGAAACAATAATAACAAACTTTTTAGGAAGCAGACAAATGGGACCAATTATTTTGCTCTTCTACACTTCTAAAAGAAGGTCCGTACTCACCAGCTCCTCCATGGTCGCATTTTCCTTATACTTATACATCCACAATGCTAGGTATTCTATCGGATCCACTGGGCGATGTTTTGCCACTTCTGCAAGGCCTTGAGTTAGACATTTCCCAAGGTGCTTCTGAAGATATGCCGACTCCATTTCTAACTCCGAACTTCTAAAAGATGTTTTTGCATTAATGCCGTCAAATTTTCAATGAAGGCACAATAAAAATAGAGTCCAGTGAGGCCAACAAAACCTTCCATTCTGTCAGCAGTCATGGGCACCTCACCTCATGATGGCACAAGCAAGCTGGCCCCTGGAACCTTCTAATGGTTTCCCAAAAAAGTCTCCACAGAAGTCACTACAACTAAAATAGTTTTAAAATCCCGAAGAGCCCTCAAGTCCAAGAGCAGAAGAAGGATACTGTCAGTATTGATTGTGAGAGGACTCTATGCCAAGCAATGTATGTCTCACCTAATCCTCACAACATACCTGAAAAATGGATGTCATTTTTCAGATGAGGAATCCCAGGCACAAAAACCCTAAGTGAAGAGTCTAGGATCACACAGGTGGTACATGGGAGAGGAGGGATTCATACCCAACTCCTGATTCCAGAGTCGTCACCCTAATGTCTGTACTAAGATGCTCCTCCCAAGCCATGGGAATCATTTTTAGAGAACATCACAACAGTCCACCTCCAAAAAAAAAAAAAGATTTCTTGAATCGCCAAAGAATAAAAAAATTAAACTTTCAAAGAATACTATATGAGGCTCCTGACACCTTCGAAGCTCATCTCCAGACAACTCTTCTGCTCCCACATACCCTGGGCTCTAGCTACACTGAACACCCTGCCGTTCTGCTGATCTCATCTTGCACATTTCCATCTCCATGACTTTTGTACATGATGATGCCTCCCTCTCCCTCAGCTTCGACAGTATCTCCTCACCTGCACGAAACAGACCATCTCTCCTTCCCTGAGCTTTCCCAGCAAAGCACAGACATTCCTCCTTCCCCAAGCACCACACAGCACGCGTCACACTGAGAATTGTCTGTATACACAAGTGTCTGTCCTCCCACTAAATGACAAGCTCCTCTAGCTCCTCCAGGAGTGTTTGAATCACGGGCTGACACAGCCGGTTCTCCGTCGTGGCAAATGCATGAGTTCTCTACTCTCCCAGTCTATCAGTTATGAAGATGGACAGGGATAACCTCAAACCAGGTATTTTTAAAAGAAAGAAATGTAGCAACCATTATATCTCAGATGCTATGAAAAAACTGATCACCCTCAAATTATCCTTATGGAATCCAGACTCTGCTGGCTATATATAAAATATTATTTTTCAATTATAGTTGACAGTCAGTATTATTTTGAATTAGTTGCAGGTGTACTGCGTAATGGTTAGACAATTATATAATTTACAAAGTGATCCCCCAGAGACTCTAGTACCCATCTGGCACCATACATAGCTACTAAATATTATTGACTGTATTCCCTATGATGTACTTTGCATTTCTGTGACAACTTTGCAATTACTAATTTGTACTTCTTAATTCCTTCAACTTTTTTCACCCAACCCCCCTCCCATCTGGCATATCCATATCTATCTATATACATAGATATACATCTATAGTTATCTATATCTATATAGCAATATCTATACATACAGACACTGAGTATCTATTATATGTCAGGCATGAGTATGATAGAGGGTAGAATGCCAGTGTGTCTAGGCCTGTCCCTAGACAAATGCACCTAACATTTTGCAAAAACGTTTTCAAATTACTAGAGGGTATAATGATAAGTGAAGTAAGTTCAGACAGAGAAAAACAAGTATCATATGGTTTCACTTACATGTGGAATCTGAAAAACAAAACAAAAACAGACTCACAGAAGCAGAGACCAAACTGACGGTCACCAGATGAGAGTAGGAGGGACAGATGAAAAGGGTGCAGAACATAGTCAATAATATTGTGATAACTTTGCACCATGACAGATGTTTGCTAGACTTAGTGTGGTGATCACAGTGCAAGGTATATGAATGCGGAATCACTATATCGTACACCTGGAGTTAATATAATATTATCTTTCAACTATACTTCATTTTTTAAAAAAATGACCTCCTGAGATTCATCCGTAGACCCCAATATGGCTCTCCCTCATACTCTGGTGGTGAGAGTACAAAATGAAATAATCCTAAGAGGAGGAATTTGGCAACATCTACAGTTACACGTGCATTTACTCTTTGCCCACCCAGTCTCACTTCTGGAACCCTAGCTTACAAAAAGATGAAGTCAAATATACACGTGGCTGTTTTGCACCAGTAGGTAGAATGCCCAAACTGGAACCCCATCCGAAGGTCATCATCCAGGGGCTGGTGAGATACAGCAATGCAGTGGGCGGCTGCGCAGATATAACAGGAGATGAGGGAGATCTTTTTAGACAGAGGGTGACTCTAGGACACAGCGTCGAATGAAATGCAAAACAAAAGGGAAAAATCGTATGCCACCCTTTGTATTAGCAACCGCAGTGAGGAAAGCAGGTGTGCGCGTGTGCAGGTCAATGGAGTCCAAAAACCTAAAACTCTGACATGGGTGTCTTAACCACACAGAGAAAACAATGATCACAGCTGAATTTGGAACACGGTATCTTGACTGTATTCCTTCCATGGGATATACTCTAAAACCAAAAATAACTACACTGACATCTCAGTATCATTTGAAGTGGAGTAAGATCAAATAAGGGGGGCGGGGGGTGCAGAGTACGGATTCTTGCTGCTGCTCCATAAAGATAACACACAGGAAGGGGACCGCGGACCCTAATGGAGAAAACCTCTGGCCCAAGAGCGGGGCCCCGCTGAGGGTCAGTCTCAGGTTGATGGGCGCCTCGCATTAGGGGAGGACCCAGGTGAGCCTCCTCACGTCGCTCGACATGTTTCCTGTCCCTGAAATCGCCATAATACCCATCCTACGAAGGCTGTTTTAAGGAATGTTATTTTTCATATAAGAAGGCCCCTTCCCACAGAACCAGCCGCGTCGAGCCAGGAGAAGTTGCTACAAGAAACAGAAAAAGGTCCCTCTCCCGCGCCTGGGGGAAGCCAGCCGGCTGAGTGGGAAAGGAGAGGATTCGGGGAGGTCGTCAGATTTAGCGAATAAAAACACAGATGCCCAGTTAAATTTGAATTTCAGATCAACAACGACTGGTGTTTATCATGCTCTGCTTGTACTAAAAGGTTATTCCTTGTTTCTCTGACATGCAAGTTTAACTGGGAGTCCGGTGTTCATCGGGCAACTGGATCGAGGGTTCGGGGTCCTATCCCGTCGGGGTCCGCCGTAGCGTCCCCGCCTCCACCGGCCCCGCCGCTCCTCGCTGCGGAGGAGGAGGCGGGAGCCGGCCCGGAGGTGGTCGCCGAGCCCTCGGCCCTCGGCGCTGAACTAACCCCGCTGGGCTCCACTCCCAGGCCAACGCCCAAACCGCCGCCGCAGCCCGACCTCCGCGGGGCACTAGGCACGCACTGCGCCTGCGCCCTCCTGCGCACTGCGGACACGTGGGTCCCCGAGTCGCGTCCCGTCGCTAGGCAACGGGCGAAAGCGCTTTGGGTGCGAAGGAGGCGTGACGCAAACAGGACACGAAGCACTGCTGGGTGAACAGAACGCGTCGGGGGTTGGGGGTCGGGGGTCGGGGGCCGGGGTCGGGGGGTCGGGGGTCGGGGGGTCGGGGGTCGGGGGTCGGGAGTCGGGAGTCGGGGACGCGCGGCCGAGAAGAGAGGGCGCGAGGGTGGAGCGGAGACTTGCTACTTGAGAGGACCGGGCTGCCCGAGAGAGGGAGAGAGGAAAGAGGGGGGCGGGGAGGCCCGCGCGCAGTGGGAGACAGAAAGGGGCAGCGGACTCACGGGGAGGAGTCTCGAGGGGCTACCAGTGTGTGAAAGGCAGGGGACAGCCTACCCCCTTCCCGGGCCCCCGGACACCTGGCCAGAGGAGACAATCGCTACAAGCTCAATGGTCCTGCATTTTCACGACTTCGCTCCTTTGCACCTGCTGGCAACCTCCGCTTGGTTCCTTTCAGAACCAGCGCAGGGCCCCCACCTCCGGAAGCCACAGCGGTCTGACTCAGCTAGAATTTCTCCCGTGCTGCGGGCAGTGCTGTGCAGGAGAAGCCTGGCTAAGCGCTGGCTGAGGTGGTAAGTGCCCGAGCGGGCACTGACAGGTGGAAGGGAGCACCAGTTCTTGCTTGGGCTCACAGGCATCGGAGTCCTAGCTGGTTAAGTCAGCAAATACGTACTGAGCACCTACTGTGTGCCTAGCATTGGGAACAGAGTGTGAGCAAAGACCGTCTCCACGCTTATTGCCCAGCCTACTGAGTGCAAGGCCACGAACTGGGAGAAACCACAGCCCTGGGAAACTCTGAAAATAGCCCCTTCCCTCTGCGTGAGTGGGCCCTGAGCTAGTGTGGAGTGGGCTGTAAAAGCCCTTTGCCACCGTCCTCTCCAAGCCGCACACTGGTTCTGTTACTGTGGCAAGTCTTGAGAACTGTCAGGTCAACAATATTGCACTGAGATCATTGTTGCAAATGTGCGCTTAGGAGCAGATGTTTTCTTCAGAAAGGGTTTGCCATACATACAGTGTGGCAGCCACCCAAGGACTGTGGGAGTGGAGAGACTTCTGGGAATGCAAAATGGGTGATTCTACCCTCTGGGAAGGGCCGTTCTACAGTGATAAAGGCAAAGTGGATTGGTAACTGCAAATCACCTGAGAATGTTGTTAACATGTGGACTGAATCTATAGGCCTGGGGTGGGACTTGAAAATCTGCATTTCAGCAAGTCCCCAGGTGATACTGTGCTGCTTGGTCATGGGCCACCCTGGAGAAGACAGGCTGTAGAAGGTAGTTTATCCAGGAGCATTGGTTCAGGTGGGCCACTGGGTGTCAGAAGGAGACAACCCACACCCCCATCCCCACCCTTCATCACTACCTCTGTGGGAGAGGAAGAAACTTTACTCTTAAGGTTCTGTCAGCTGGTCTAATAATTAATTAGACATGAAACAGATTAACAAAAGAAAATGACCAAATTTAATTACATACATATGTATGGGAACCCTGTGCATATGAGAGAGTCAGAGACCCCACACACATGAGAGGTTCAAAGACAGAAAGGGGGAAATGAAGTATATATGACATTCTGAGCTAAGGATCACCTTGGGACTTGAGAGGGGAGGTAGGTCATTGCAGGACACTAAGAAGAGCAGATGTTCAGTAATTAGAAGTTTCCCCTGACCTCTGCATAGGTCAAAAAAATGTTACCTCTCACAATCTCTTATTGTGGGCAAAGCCCCTAATCTAAATTCTTCTAGGTAGTTGGGGGTGTTGATGGTGAGGAGAATGGCACCAGGTGTTAGACCGGTGGGGTCAGACTGGACCTCAGTTCAGCAACCTCTGTACTTGAGTTCTGGCTAGGAACAAATTCAGAGGCAAGACTCAAACTATAAGAGGACCTTTATTTAGAAAATCACAGAGGTGGAAGAAGTAAGTGCTGGAAGACACGGGCTCAGGAAACAAGTTACAGAGGCCAAAGGAGGGCCGTGGAGCTTGGAGTGAGGAAGGTAGTGGTAACTGACCTGGGGGAAGAGGTGGAGGAGGGGAATAGTGTGGGCGTGCTCCCTGGGGGAAAAGCACTGGGTGCTGCCCTAACAGCTTTTTTAAGGCAGCGATCTTAGGGGAGGTCCCAGGGGAGAATCGCAATAAAATATTCTTTAGCTTCCCAGGTGTGTCCCTTCAGGGCGGTGGTCTCCACCGATTGGTTGGTACCGGGGTCATTAGTTAATGCAGCTGGACCTGAGGTCAGCATTGCTTGTCTGCTTTTGCTGCTTTTCTGGACCTGGAGCTGAAATAGACCCAAGGTTAGATGTAATCTCTAGGGAGGAAAGGTCAGGGAGTCCAAATGGTATGACCAGTGATATGCTAGGGGAGGAATGTACACCCTGGGGATGAGGTCCCACCCCCCAAAGGCCCCTGAGGCTTTCAACCCTGGTGACCTTCTCTGCCTGCCCTTCATCCTTGCTCCGCTCATGTCTAACTGCCTCCCACAGGGGGAGGGTGAAGAAGCTTCTCTTAAATCCGAATGGCCTTGGTTGCCTTTAGCTCAAAGCAATCTGCGTATCACAGAGGCACATCTTGGAGTGACTCATTCTGAATACGCCTAACTTAGTGGCTTCAAACACACATTTATTCTTTTACAGTTTTTGAAAATCAGAAATCCAAAATGAGTCTCACAGAGTTAAAAAGGGGAGGCTCTAGAAGAGAATCCATTCCCTGCCTTCTCGGGCTTCTGGAGGCAGCCCACATTTCTTGGCTTTGGATGCGAAGGAGGCTCGACTTGGTGCTGGATCGCATCACCTTTTCTCCCTCTACTTCCATCCTCACATCTCTGTCTAACCTCACTGTCCCTCTCCTAGAGGCCCTGTGAGTACATTGTGCCTACCTGGTGAGTCCAGATAATCTCCCCAAATCAAAGTCCTCAATGTAATCACATCGGCAAAGTCCTTGCCGTATAAGGTAACATATTTCATAGGTTTCAGGCATTAGGAGTTGGACATCTGTGGGAGCTATTATTCAGCCTTACCACGCTGTGCATTTCCTAAGATCAAGGACATTTTCTTACTCATATTTCAACTACCAAACCCAGGAAATGTGACCTTGATGTAATTCTGTTATGTAAGCTACAATTTACATTTGTTTGCCCAATTTGCCTAACAATGTCCTTTATAGAAATGTTTTTCTGGTCCAGATCCAATCCAGGAGTATGTACCTGTTGTTATGCCTGTTTAGGCTCCTTTGACCTGGAATGGTTCCTCATCTCTTTTTTGCCTTTCATGACGCTGGCATTTTTAAGAGTTCAAGTCAGTTGTAGACTGTAGCTTAATTTGGCTTAGTTTAATGTTTCCTCCATCAGATTCAAGTTTTGCCTTTGGGGCAGGAATCCAGAAACGTATTATGTGCCACTGAGAAGTGTATTATATTAGGAGACATGGGCTGTCACTGTTCCTTATTGATGATGTTTATTTTGATATTTTGGTTAAGGTTTTGTTGGCCAGGTTTTATCACTGTAAAATTTCTGTTTCCCTTTGGACTTGGTCTATACTGTGTAGGGAGAAACTTTGAGACTATATAAATATCCTGTTCTTTTTCAAATAGTCACTGAGTTTTATTACTCATTGATGATTCTGGCTTGATTCTGTTATACTATGATGGTTATAAAATGGTGATTACTTAAAGCTCCATTATTTTTTCCACATTTATTAGTTGGTATTTATATGCTGTCTCTCCCATTCACTTATTTATTTGCTTTTATATGGACTCATGGATCCTTATTTTACTCAATTAGTTGTAATCCATTACAGTCATTATGCATTTTGATGATTAAATTTCCCCAGATTTGGCCAATAGCAGCCCCTTCAATCTGGCTCTTGTGTACCCAACCCTTTTATTTTTCAACATTTTCTTTCTGGGACAACAAAATAGTCCAGGCTTATGGGACTTTTGCTGCCTCAACCTTGGAATTAGCCATTTCTCCAAGGAGCCCTGATTCCTTTGAAGCGGTGACAGCCATTTAAAGACAAGTCAGAATGCTCAGTGTGCTCATTGCTACTGAGGTGGTTTTGCCTCTAGCCTTTGCAGTGGGAAGAGCTATGAAATACACATTTTTTCATATTTATATCTATGTATCTATCTGGTTTTTTTCTTCTTTAAACTGAGAAGTGCCTCCCGAAAATGTTAAGACTGGATCTAAGCCTTTATTAGTCAATTTATTATTAACTCTTTTGGAGTTAAAATACATAAACTTGAGGAATATGGAGTTGGTCAGGAATAGACCAGGTGTTAGGCCATTTCATATCACAAACTTCCACAGCAATAGCTAGTATTTATTAAACACTTACTGTGTGCCAGGCTTAGTGCTTTATATGTATTTACTAGAGGCCCAGTGCATGAAATTTGTGCACTGGCGGGGGGGGGGGGGGGTCGGGGAGGGGGCCCCTCAGCCCGGCCTGTGCCCTCTTGTAGTAGTCTGTTGCGCTCACCAGCGGTGAGCCCAGCTTCTGGCTGAGTGGCACTCCCCCTGTGGGAGTACACTGACCACCAGGGGGCAGCTCCTGTGTTTGGTGGTCAGTGCACTCATAACGACCCGTCAGTCCGCTGTTCAGTCTTTTTGCATATTAGCCTTTTATTATATAGGATTATCTCACAGTTAGGAGGCACATGCCTTTGTTACTTTGTTTTTCAGATGAGAAAACCAAGGATCCCAGAGGCTGGTAACTTGCTAAAGACCACACAGCCAAAAAATGGCAGAAGCAGGACTGGAACTTGGTCTGTCCAGCCCTGGAGTCTGCGTTTGAGCTGCTGCACCCCAGGACCACTCCTACCTGTGGCCCAGCTCAGGCTATCCTGCCTCGGCTCTTGAAATCAGTGAATCCAGGGGCACCCACTCAATCTAAAGCAGTTTCTTGCCTAAAAACTAGAGAGTGGAACACTGTGTTAGTGCTGGCAGCAGTAGCTGCGGTGCCTGGCATTTCCCTCCCGCTCCTCCCCAGGGCTGCTCAGTGATCGCTGGTGAAATAAATAAGCCTGTCTTATTATGTCATAGGTTACTTCCAACCTCATAATAGCACAGCTTGCTGGGTGCTCAGCACCCCTGTGGGGGCCCATTTCTGCTCAGTTATTTCCTCTCCACGCCAGGGTAGACATGTGGGTAAGTGGAGAGGTTTAGCCCCCCTTAACCATCAATCTATCAAGTTCTTGTCATGCCTGAACACCCAGCACCTACTATCTGATCTAGGACTTTAGGGAAAAGGCCATTTCAATGTAAGAGCTATTGGCACATATGTATTTATGATTCTTTGGGGAAGGGTGGGAACCAGAAATATCTCATATTTATCCTGAAATGAATTCTTATTGGTTAGAATGTGTCTATTTTTTTTAAATAGCGTGACTCTTTTGATGTGTCCCCAGCCCACAGGATGGATACTGACTACCTGAAGAGGTGCTTTGGGAACTGCCTTGCCCAGGCACTGGCAGAGGTGGCGAAGGTTCGGCCCAGTGACCCCATAGAGTACCTGGCTCACTGGCTTCTTCACTACAGGAAAATCTCTAAAGCACAGGAAGAGGTGTGTGCACTGGGTCAGCCTGGGGAGCTTGCCCAGAGTAACTGGAAATCCAAGGCAGAATTGTGGAGCTGGCTTGGGGAGCTTTGGGTTTTTAGTTTGTGAGGGTGGTTTAGGCCCAGGTATCCTGGAAGTGCAGGGAATCCAGCTCACAGGAGTGATGGAGCTGATGGGTTTGGAGCCACCACCAGGTTAAAGCTATTCTAGGAGCAAACCCAGGAGCCCTGAAGGGCTGGAGGCAATCCCAGGGAGGGGCCCATCTGTGCATGCCTCGCAGGGGCTGGTCTGATTTCCTGTCACATTACCCCAGGGCAGGCAGGAGAAGATCCAGCTGAAGGAGGAATATGATAATAGCCTCAAGGAAACCCAAATGACAGAAATGCTGAAGCAAGAGGAGTATCAGATTCAGCAGGAGCATGAAAAGTGTCACCAGGTAGGAAGGAGGGACTCAGCACTGGGTGCGCATCCCAGAGCCGGTACCAGGAATCCACGGTCAGCCTGGCCAGAGCGCAAGGCAGGTTGAGGCCCACAAGCCTACTTTTCCCTCCGTGTTTATAAACCAGTCTTACTGACAACCTTTGTCAATAAGATCATTATCAGTGGAAAAAGAAAATGTTTAAAGGCGATTCCATTTTAGATTTCAGGAAGTACCTTAGATGTCACTGGTTTAAAAAATTGTTTTTACATCTCATATGTCACTTGGAACAAATATATTTTTTATATAAGGTCCTTTGAGCCCTTTTCAAAAATTATTAAATATTTTTTAGAAACCAAATATGGTTATCATTATATACTTTAGGTCTGTTCTTTTATTTATACTATTTACTTGAATATCTTATTTATTGCATACTATTTATTTATGATCAAGCCACAGATGCCACCACCACTGTGGTGCTGTAATCGTGGTCATAAATTGATAACTTGGAATAGTTGGACAAGCATATCTTTCATCTCCGTAATTTTTGCCACAATCTTCTGGAAAATGTGTCATTTGATGTTTTCTGCAAAGTACATGATACCCAGATAGGAAATTGACTTATTGGGCTTGATACCTGACATCTTTATAACTATACTACATCCCATGCATTAAAACCCTTAATGCAGTCTTATACACTTAACTAGCTTTTGCTAGTTTACCAAGTCCACTTTGGAAACATGAAAGTATTAAGCTTATTTACATTTATACAATATGCTCAGCTTTTTTCACAAACAATTAATAGATTTTTTAAAAGTCTAGCCCTGGCCACTGTGGCTCAGTTGGTTGAGCATCATCCCATGCACAGAAGGGTCACTGGTTTCTATTCCCAATCAGGGCACATACCCAGGTTGCGTGTTTGATCCCTGGTCAGGGCCGTGTGGGAGGCAACCAATCAATGTTTAGTTTTGTTCTGGCGGGAAGTTAAATTCTTGCTGAATCATCTTATCCTATCAGATTTTTGTTTAATGCTTCGCTAGGGCAAGTCTGTTTCCATTTCATTCTTAGTCTTGCGCATGAAAATGGCAGTATTGTGTTCTTTCCATACCAAGTGTGTTTTAGTCCCTGCTAATGACTTTTTTGCTTTTTTTTCTTTTCTGTTTAGCCACTGGTGCCTGCAGCTATTTCCACAAAGGAGACCATATTCATGCAGGATAACACAAAATCCCTTGAAAATGAGGCGTGGAAGCAGGAATGCCTGCCAGGTACCTCCAGTAAGATTCCAGAAATGCCTCAACAGATTCCGTCTTCTGATTCACCTGGCCAGACTGACTGGAGTGTCAAAACTCCACCAGAAATAAATTACTAGGCTTTTCAGCATGAAGTTCTCCCGAGACGCATCACGACTCCCAATCTCCTTCTTAGGTTATCAGCAGGTAGATAATTCTAACGATGCTTCTCTCCAAGCTGCAAGCCGAGAACATGGCCATCCAGAGAGCTCTTACCTAAGATGAAAATATGTGGGTTAAATCCAGATTTGAGGGGCTGTATGCAGATGGAGATGCCTGAGGGACTCTCCAGTCCAAATCCTTTTCTATAGCCACGAACATTCCTGAATCATGTGAAAATGTGAACTAGTTATAGGATAAAATAAACTCATAATAATGATTTAAATTAAGTAATCCAACTGATGAGCTGTTTTCCTTTCGTGTTATCATTTTTGGGGGGGAGACTAGTGACACCACAGCCATCCCACGTGTTCCTGTCTTCACTCTACCAAGCCTTGCAGGCAGAGTGTGACACATGGACTAGGCCAGTGATGGCGAACCTATGACACGCGTGTCAGAGGTGACACGCGAACTCATTTTTTTGGTTGATTTTTCTTTGTTAAATGGCATTTAAATACATAAAATAAATATCAAAAATGTAAGTCTTTGTTTTACTATGGTTGCAAATATCAAAAAATTTCTATATGTGACACGGCACCAGAGTTAAGTTAGGGTTTTTCAAAATGCTGACACGCCGAGCTCAAAAGGTTCGCCATCACTGGACTAGGGTGTACCTGTGCCAATGGCAACAGCTCCAGTGTCAGGAAAACTCAAAGGTTGGAGCATCTTTAAAAATTATTTTCCATCTGTATTCACTCAAATATTATCTATATGCTGATGACTTTAGGTTTATATCTTTAATCAAGATTTTCTTGAACTTGACTGCCTGCTTGACTTCTGCTTGGATGACCAATGGACACCTCAAAACTTAACTTACCTAAACGGAATCCCTGATATTCTCCTTGAACCAGCGTCTCTCCCTTCTTCTATTTGCTCAGGTCACAACTCTTGGTTTCATCCTTTACTCAGTTTTTGGTCACGCTACATCTGGTCTGTTGGCTTTCCATTCAAAATAAAACCAGAACTCACCCACTTGAGTGCCCAAGCCACAGTTATCTTTTGCCTGGAATATTGCAATAGCCTGTTAACTAGTCTCCTTTCTCCTGCCCTGACCTTCTCCAGTCTATCCTCATCACTGAAGAAAAGTTGCCTTTTTTATTTATTTTTGTATTTACATATTGTTTACAAAACAGCATAATGCAGCACATGGGCTACAGCCATCAGTTTCATGCAGGATGAAATTAAATGTGTCTCTCCAGTGTGCCACATTTTTATCAATGGGGAAGATTTTCCTCAGTAACCACATGAGAGGAAATGTGGTCCGTAGTTCTGAAGTAGATCTCTAAGGCCGATAAAGGAGCTCCTCTTTGTACATCCACCTAGGAAATGGCCTTATTTTTTCTCTTTTTTTCTTTTTTAAAATATATATTTTATCGATTTTTTACAGAGAGGAAGGGAGAGGAATAGAGAGTTAGAAACATCGATGAGAGAGAAACATCGATCAGCTACCTCCTGCACACCCCCTACTGGGGATGTGCCCGCAACCAAGGTACATACCCTTGACCGGAATTGAACCTGGGACCCTTCAATTCACAGGTCAACGCTCTATCCACTGAGCCAAAACAGTTAGGGCTGGCCTTATTTTTTCAAAGAAGCCTTTTCCCCCAAAATGTATATACACTTTAACAGTTGATTCATTCATTCCCCCAAAATGTATATACACTTTAGCAGTTGATTTCTATTACGTTTTGAAAATGAAATGTATTTTAATAAACACTGCCTTTATAATTATTCATAGTGTGTATACATTTTTGGGGACTATACACACACACATCCTATCTGTACTTCATATAAATAGATATCTATAAATTAGATTAGTGATGGCGAACCTTTTGAGCTCGGCATGTCGGCATTTTGAAAAACCGTAACTTAACTCTGGTGCTGTGTCACATATAGAAATTTTTTGATATTTGCAACCATAGTAAAACAAAGACTTATATTTTTGATATTTATTTTATGTATTTAAATGCCATTTAACAAAGAAAAATCAACCAAAAAAATGAGTTCGCCAGTCACCTCTGACATGCGTGTCATAGGTTCACCATCACTGAATTAGATAGATGATAGATAGATAGATAGATAGATAGATAGATAGATAGATAGATAGATAGATATCCTGTCTATACATCCAGGATATATATACCATATACATCTTAACTGAGCTTCCTATACAAACATATACATCCCATGGGGACTTCCACACCCATTTGATAACCTCTTCCCTGTCAGTGCCCTTCAGTAGAATGTGAGCTCCATGAAGACGGGGATTTTATATGTGTGTGCCGGCGCACAAACAGTGCCTAAAACAGTGCCGGCACACCAGAGGTGCCAAATAAATATCTGTCAAATAAGTGAATGAATGAGTTGAACTTACACAAGGACTGGAAACTCAGAGCAAATATGAAAATGGCAAGCTAGCCATTTTGGACTGGCACAAGGATTGCTTTGCAATTCCAGACCCCTGACCCCTTCCTCTAGCCTAGGACTGGCCACATAATATGTGGGGCCCAGTGCAACATGAAAATGTGGGCTTCCTTGTTCAAAAATGATTATGTGTGTCACCATAGTGACAACAAAGCATTAAACCACATGTGCTTCCCTTCCACATGAAGGCCCTGGGCGCCTGCACAGGCCACACACTCATGAAGCCAACCCCGCTCCAGCCAGAGCTGCTGTCCACAAGGAGCTTCTGTGGTGGGGCCTTAGGATCGACAGCTCAAATACATCAAAGTTCACACAACTACCCTCTACCCTCTCAAGGATAGGTGAGCTCTCTTACTGTCCTCCCCCCACACACACACACACACACACCAGTAAAGGCTGCCAAAGGGCTCCCCATGTGCCAGGCTTAAGGAAAATGCTCAGAACTTTGGAACCCACTGCTGCGTGTATCCGCTCTGTCTCATGGGTGTGGATGGCTAGTCCAGGTCAGAGACAGATATGGGCTCCTCAGGTGGCGGCCTTTCCCAGGAGGAAGAGCAGGTGTGGGCGTGATATATACAGAGCGCCTGTGCGAGGGACAGGCAGGTGATGCCACAAGAGAGGGCAGCCTTGACCTGCCCCTTCCCCTGAGCCCCAAGGAAGCCCAAAGATCCCAGCCCAGCCCGCTGCCAACACAGGGGATAAAATTTGCTGTACACCATCTAAAGGGGCTTCAGAAGGTTTGAACTTCACTCTGAAAATAGTAAACTGTTCATTTCTGAGTTTATTTTGAATATCTGACATCCTGTGGGAGACACTCTTAGACATTAGGAGATAATGATGCTTGGCTTAGAAGGGCATCATTTTGGTATTTTTTGTGGGTGTTTTTTTTCCTATTCCAGAAGCAAATTTAGCTTCTTAGCTATGCTTTAAAACCAATATTAAAATGGTCTATCTTCCACTGCCGTAGGCCAGTCCATCCTTGCTGCTTGACACAGTCGCTTCAGGAAAGAAACATCTGCACAGCATATGTTTCAAGGGACCTGGCGTATATGGCATACTGTTCTTAATATGTTTACTCCCCTTCTTAGCACTATGAGGGCCACCTCCCCGAGAAAGGTTGTTTCCCCAGGTGGGGATTTTTCCCTGGAGTTAGGGATTAACAGGACTAAGGAAGGGAATAAATCAGTAGAACCCCTTAACTAAGTGCCAGGCGGGTAGTTAATCACCTTAACTACGAACAATCACGCTTAAGCTACATAATCTTTACTTTAGGATAATCTCCTTCAGTCACTCCCTTGTAGCTTATGAGTAGAGCAGTAGAATAGTGACCTTGGAATAGCCCTTATAATGGAACACAGAGATTAACCTAAACAAGATTAAAATCAACAGAATTAGATAGAGACAGGATTTTTGGCAAAGGTCAGGTAAGAAACTATGGACATGAAACAAGGAACTGTAGTAGGTTAAGGGAGGACCCAAAACATACCATGATGTGACTATAGAGCAGGGGTGGGCAAACTTTTTGACTCAAGGGCCACAATGGGTTCTTAAACTGGACCGGAGGGCCGGAACAAAAGCATGGATGGAGTGTTTGTGTGAACTAATATAAATTCAAAGTAAACATCATTACATAAAAGGGTACGGTCTTTTTTTTCAATAGTTTTATTCATTTCAAAAGGCCAGATCCGGCCCGCGGGCCGTAGTTTGCCCACGGCTGCTATAGCGGCATGCTTATAGGATCAAATGGTATAAATACAGATGTCACAAGAGAATAAAAAGAGAACCCAACTACGGTGATCAACTGAACGCTGTCTCCGTGTCCTTCCTTCTTCGCCAGCTCCGTCCACACCTTTGGAAACCCCTGGACCTGCTGGGGCTGACCCCAGTATTCCACTTTTTCCAGATGATCCTGACACCAGCTAATTTGGCTGGTGCATGGTAGTGATGAGTTCAGCCATATCAAGTAATTCTTTTATGGGACAAAACGCAGCTGACTCAATGGGGATCTGAGGCAGATAGCATAGAGCAGTGATGGCGAACCTATGACACACGTGTCAGTGGTGACACACGAACTCATTTTTTTGGTTGATTTTTCTTTGTTAAATGGCATTTAAATATATAAAATAAATATCAAAAATATAAGTCCTGCCAGCACCGGTTTGGCTCAGTGGATAGAGCGTCAGCCTGCGGACTGAAGGGTCCCAGGTTCGATTCCTGTCAGGGGCATGTGCCTTGGTTGCGGGCACATCCCCAGTAGGAGATGTGCAGGAGGCAGCTGATCGATGTTTCTCTCTCATCGATGTTTCTAACTCTCTATCCCTCTCCCTTCCTCTCTGTAAAAAAATCAATAAAATATGTTTAAAAAATATATATATATATAAGTCCTTACACCATACACAAAAATAAACTCAAAATGGATAAAGGACTTAAATGTATGACGGGAAACCATAAAAATACTAGAAGAATCCAAAGGCAACAAAATCTCAGACATATGCCGAAGCAATTTCTTCACCGATACAGCTTCTAGTGTACTGGGCTGCATATCTGGCACTTTGGCCAGACGGGTCATGCTGTGCTGTCTGTTCCTAAAACACAAAGATAGGAGGGTACTGACATCAGGCCAGGCCTTGAGATATGGTCTCATGGCCCCTTCCCAGAACACAGGCCTTCTTTCTCAGAAGGCCCGGAAGTCTCATTCCAAATTTGGGAGACAAAAGACTGGAAAAAGTATAAATAAAGAGAGTTTCCTCCATATTGGGGGGCCCAGAATTTGAAAGACACATTTTCTCTGGGCCTCCACAGA